AATGAAATTTATAGCTTAAAATTTCAGAGGCTGGGAATCCATACTGTAGGGAATACGTCTGGTGAGGGTCTTGGTAGTGGCAACAGTGACCCAGGAGTCCCACATGGCAGAAAACGGCAGAGCAGAGAGAGAGACTAACCTCTCACATGTTCTTCTTTTAAAGCCCTCAGAACCATGCCCCTGACCACCACTTTTAATCCATTCACTACAGCATGGTCCTACAATCTAATCACCTCTCTTCAAGGCCTCACCTTTCAAATACCGTAATAGGATTTCCCACCCTCGACAGTTACAATGGGAATTAAGCTTCTAATACATGAACTTTGGAGTACACAATTCAATCAGTCCACAGCAGGACCCTGGAAAGTCATCACCTCTCAGGGAATCCCTACAGCCAAATACACTTAGTGAACAGTGTTTGTCATGACAACAATCACAAGAAATTGAACTGACCCAAGATTCAATGTGAAGTAGGAAAGGCCGGTCCTCCTTGCCATTCCATTACTTTAGAGTTGTAACACGTTGTGACTCTGTCACATCCTGGCTCTGTGACCTTGGGCAGATCACTTCACTTCTCTTGGTCTTTGTCTCCTAGTCTTTCATATGCACTGATTCAAAGAGTCCAGAGATTATCAAAGGGGATCATGTGAAGGGGGATTGGGAGTGGGGAGAAGACAGAGGCCAGCAAGTGGAGCTAAGGCCCTCCTTCCCTGCTATAATCAGTTTATCGACTGCATACATTGGGTTTTGCTTTAAATTTTCATTTAAAAAATGTTTCAAGGTTTTTAAAAATAATGGTTAAAAACCAATGGATTGTATGACCTCCAAGGTCTTTTCCAGGTTTCATCATCTACCTTCCTTTCAGTCCAGACTTCCCTTTCAGAAATCTCCCCCTTTTCACAATCTCTCAGTGCCCTTCCATTGTTTTTTGGCAGCTCAGAGCCCCTTGGAGGAAGCGTTCATTAGGATTGGCATTCAACAAGTATTTTCTATGGCCTGAGTGTTTATGTCCCCCCAAAATTTANTCATCTACCTTCCTTTCAGTCCAGACTTCCCTTTCAGAAATCTCCCCCTTTTCACAATCTCTCAGTGCCCTTCCATTGTTTTTTGGCAGCTCAGAGCCCCTTGGAGGAAGCGTTCATTAGGATTGGCATTCAACAAGTATTTTCTATGGCCTGAGTGTTTATGTCCCCCCAAAATTTATATGTTGACATCCTACCCCCCAAGGTGATGGTATTAGAAGATGTGGACTTTGGGAAGTGATTAGGTCATGAGAGCAGAACCTTGGTGATTGAAATTCATGCCTTTATGAAAGAGACCAGAGAGCTGCCTCACCTCTTCCACCACGTGAGGACACAGGGAGAAGGTGCCGTCTGTGAACCAGGAAGTGGGCACTCCCCAGACACCTGGGTCTCGGACTTCCCAGCCTCCAGAAATGTAAGAAATAAATTTCTGTTGTTTATAAGTTACTCAGTGTATTAGTCCATTTCTGTTGCTTATAACAAAATACACAGAATTAGGTAATTTACAAGAAAATGAAATTTATTGTGCTTACAGTTTCTGAGGCTGGGAAGTCCAAAGTCCAGGGAACACATCTGGTGAGCGCCTTCGTGGTAGTGACAGTGATGGCAGAGTATCACATTGTGAAAATGGCAGAGCAGAAAGAGAGACAGACTCTTTGTGNGTGATGGCAGAGTATCACATTGTGAAAATGGCAGAGCAGAAAGAGAGACAGACTCTTTGTGATCCTGTTTTAAAGCCCTCAGAACCATGCCCCTGACCACCATTTTTAATCCATTCACTACTGCAGGGTCCTACAATCCAATCACCTCTTCAAGGCTCCACCTTTCACTTACCACAATAGGATTTTCCACCCTCTTAACAGTCACAGTGGGGGCCAAGTATCTAACACATAAAACTTGGAGAACACAATTAAGACTTCAGTGAGTTTGGGGGAACATTCAATCTAGTATAATCACCTTATGTTATTTTGCTGCAGCAGCCTGACCAGACTAAGACAGCACCAGTATCACTGGTGTTACCTCCAGCCTCACAACAAAGGTGCCATGCCTGTGACAGCACGGTACTTCAAACCCCACTTCAGTACTGTGGCCAGTGCCAAGCCATTCTGTACATTTTGCTATACATTGCCTGGAAAGATTTGCATTTGTCATGCAAGTCACTGAAACCAAAATAGGAACAACTGTAGATTTCTGGAAGAGAGTTTTGCAATGAGCCAACAAAATGCCCTTGTACAATTAGGGCCTCCTTCTCAGATGGCTATCGGTGCCAGAGGTGCCCTAGCCTGTGTTACATGTAGGGTCACCAATTAAGTGTCTAAACGGTATAACTTCATGGACCCAGATTCTGCTGATGTGGATGACCTATCTTAAGCTTCCACCTATGCATGTTCAATTCCTGTTGAAATGCAAATACTTAGTCCACAAAGAAAGAATATGGACCTCAGCAGGTTGAGGATGAGAGCTGCAGTCATAGAGTCAGTAGAGTCTACCGTAAGACTCATAATCTGCGCATTGCCCAGAAATCATATAGTTCATGGAAAAAAACAGAAAACAGGTCAGAAAACCAAAGATAGAGCATGATCTCCATTTGCATTTACATGTAGCTAATGCCTGTGTGTTGACAGGGTGTGTGTGAAGAAAGGACAGGGAGGTGATATGAGTGGAGATGGGGGTGTTGGAGTTACATGGGGAGTGTGTGTGGAGTGTGAAAAGGAGTGTGAAGCATGTGGGGAATGTGCATTTACATGTCCACATGTGTGTGCATGCATGTGTAGTCCTTGATACTACAGTAGGTTCCTAGACTCCCAGGATCTAAAAGTGTGGTGTTGAAGACAAAAAGGGAACAGGAGTGCTCTACTCGCCTCGTTCTCTTTTCCTAAGTAAAACTCAATGATGTGTAAGAGCAAGGACTTTGCAGTCAGACCTGGTGTTAAGTCCTAACCCAACACTCACTAGCTGAGGGACCTTGGGCAAGTTATTTAACCTTTTGACATCACTTTCACACCTGTAAAATAAGGATATTTCTTGGCATCTGTGAAGGGAGTGCAGGGTAATGCAGAGCGGATAGTCAATAAATAGTAACTTAAACAATTCTAGCCCATTTCTTAAAACTGATCCAGAAAATTGCACCTTGGCAACAAAATAACCTGCAACAAAGTAATTTTTTAAATACATTCACATTCTATGACTTCTTTATTTTTAACAGGTTTTGTTTTATGGGGATGGAATGGGGGTAGAGAGTTTACAAACAATTTTCTTTTATTTATGGTTCTTGGGACTAACAATAGAGTGAAAACATGAAATCACACCTGTAGGCAAAGAAATTGACCGGCAAAAGAGCATGCCGGTTACTGAGCCTTGTCCCACCCTCTGACAAAGGAGCAGGGAGGCTGAGAATTGGCCAAAACTCCCAGTGGGACATGCAGCAAGAGAAGTGGAGTTGTGAGCTCAGTGCAATTTACCCCGGACAGTTGGCGACAAGTTTATGGCTGGAAGCCTCTATATGTCTTTTGTCTTTACATAAAAATCAATTATAATTTTCCACATTGAGGGGTTCTTTTGCAATTATTGGAAATTTATCAAGTAACTACTCTGAAATTGAAAAGCAAATATCTAGGATAAATATGAGGCTTACGTTACTTTACAAATTATCGAGAGTGCTTCTTCAGATAGTTAAAAAGTAATTCTGAAGTTTTAGTTACAGTCACCCAAAGATTTTCCCCCTACTGCAAGAAAGTTCCTATGTCAGAGACGAACTACTAAATAATTATTATAAGAATATTGCAAAGTTGATTATGTTCTTAAAAATAAAAGTAATATACAGTCTTCATTTTTGCTTTTTTTTTTTTTCCTTTTCTTTTTGTAGCCTCTATAACTTTCCCCTGCTAACACCATTCCGCTGTGGGGTTACTGCTGCTTGCATAGAGTTGGAATTCTCACCGTTTCTGACTGCTGGATTCTCCACAGGAACAGATACAACTCCCTAAATAGTGGGTGGGCTGCCTCAGGAAGACCTCAGGCTCTGTTAGGAACCTTCCCGTGGTTATCACAGCTGACACCACCAATGCCCTCTAGCATATTCATGGGCAGAGGAAACACAATCGTGGAATTCTTCTCGGTGGCTACAGTGGTTAAGGTCTGCAGGTAGCGCAGTTGGAGGGCTATCGGGGACTCAGCCAGCACCATGGAGGCTGACTTCAGAGATTTGGAAGCATTCATTTCTCCTTCTGCTGCAAGGACCTAAAACAACAGAAACACAAGTAAAGGTTTACAACTGTGACTAGTGCTTTCTTTTTCTGTCCTGATACCCCTCCCCACCCCTCCCTGCCCCCACGTTGCCACGTGTGTTTTATCTACTTAACTTTTTTGGCAAAGGTAAGAATTTCACATTCTAACATCATTAAAGAAACACGGGGAGGTTACAGGAAGTGGAAAGAGATATTTTACAAATTAGAAATCCCTGGATTTCATCCTCAAACATAAATAAAAGCACTATCTTTAACACAAATGAATACTTGGCCTCCACCCTAGTAACAATGCAAGAATTGTTTCTTGTTCTTTCAGCTCTTGCTTACGAGTAGTAGCAAGTGCCAGCCTGGCAGCACTCGTGGGAAATCTCTTACGTTCTCCACTCTCTTCTAGTTCTCAGATTGCCCAAAAATGACCCCGGCAGGACACAGCTGCCCCATCCACAGGCATCACTGCCCATGTGCAAAAGTGATCTCCCATCCATCTTCACCTAGTCCAGGTGAAGCTTCTGGAGCTTAGCAGAGAAAGCAGATATGAATAAGGAATAAGGGCAGAAAAAAACCTTCACCAGCTCACAGGATTTCCAAGAGGGCAACAAAGCCTTCTAATCTCAGTTGGTTTCTGATACTTCAAGAAACCTATCCACACAGACATGAAGGCTACAGATCCAACAGATTCAAAGACAATTGTATCTTACATGTCATGCTTACATTTTGTAATTCCAACCTGGATTGTATTTAATTACCTCTTTTAACACCATAACACTTAACATCCTAACACAATGATGCTCAAAAGACAAGTACCAAGTTGGCTACAACCAAATCACCAGCTGCTGTGGGTTAAATGTGTCCCCCAAAAGCTCATGCACTGGAAATTTGATTGCCTTTGTAACAGTGCTAAGAGGATGGGAAACCCAGTTATGGTATTTGAAAGGCGAGGCCTTTGAAAGGTGATTGGATTGTGAGGACTGTGCCCTCACGGACGGATTAATCCATTCGGGGCCACCCGGATCCCCCACAGCTCAGTAGCATCATCAAGTAAGGTCTGTTTCCGAATCAAAAGAAAGAACATTGATCAGGAGACAGATAATGTGCAGTAAGTTTCTGAAATGTTTTGTACTTGCAAAATAAGTTCCTCTTCTCTTTTTCCTTTTGTATTTACAGCATTTGGAGTGAGACAGTTGGGAATAGAACTAGGAGTTAACATCCTTATTGATTACTTCCTGGAATTTAAAGTGAATCTTACAAAGGATTCAGGAATAAAACATGACAGATGTCTTAGTGGGCATTTACCAGCAGGATCCACCCCAAAACCATACCTAACGAAACATATGATATCCATCTAGATTTGAGCAAATACCCCAAATATGCTGTCACTGGTATTGAGCAGGCAGTCAGGCCCGGGCTTCTCAGACAGACCTTGACTTTGTCCTGGCTTTGCCATTTGCAGCTGTGAATCATTAGGCCAGCTTCTTAACCTCTCTGATTCTCAGTTTTCTCACCTGTAAACGGTTGACTTTCAGGACTGTCATGAGGTTTGGAGATAATACATATAAGATATCTATTAATGCCTACCAATGACTTAATGAATACTATTATTGGGTACTTTTCAAGATATTATGTTTCTTGCTCTGTTTAAGCTCTGCTCTATTGCCAGTTTTAAAGAAGCAAGACATATTTTTTTTAGAGCAGAACCAGCCTGTATCCAAAGATATCCTTGTCCTTTGTAAAAGCTAAAAACCATTGAAGATATCTTATGGGTTATCCTAGAGAGGGTGGGTCGAGGGATAATGCTTTCAGAAATGGTGAGATCAGAAGGGTAGTTCCCCCAGAGGGGAGGGGGCAGAGATCTCTGCTACCAAACAGCCAGTGAGCCCCTGCCTTTCTGTGAACCCCGCAGGACCCCAGGAGATGGCGAGACCTCACAGGAAGCCAGTGACTTGACCATGGCTGGGAGACATCTGAGTTGCCAAACTTACGTGCTCTTACAAATGAAATGGGGAGCTATCATTCAGACCTGATATGACCTCATAAAATCTTGGGGCCTTTGTGCTACTTCAGGGACTGGAGGAGATGCCAAGAAGCACTGAAGTCAATATCCTTCCTAGCTCACAAAAAGGAGGCTCAGAATCAGAATTTAATTGATTTAGGAAAATGCAGAAATGTGATTATTTATGAACTAGGAGCAAGAGATGAGGTCACTACCCACTACATCCTCATCAATATTGTAGTTATTATTACTATTGCTATTATTATTGATATTGGTGGCATGATGTGAGAATTTCCAGAGGTGATAGGTCTATGCCATCTCAAATGAATCCTCTTCTAACTTTCACTTTTTTTTTCCCCACTTTTCATTTCATTCTGAAATGTAGGAATACACGGGCTACCTGAGAAATGGGTGAACTAGAGTAATCTAAACTAAAAATAAATCTGATCTCTAACCTCTTCAGAAAAGGCTGAAGTGTACAATGTTAACTCATAATTTTAAATTCCAAAGAAAATGGATAAGGGGCACAGTTCCAACAGCTTCCTACTCCCATCCAGATATTTAAATCTATGTCTCACAATAAATAAAGCCACAAACTGAAGCTCACCTTTCCAGAGCTGTGCGTACAAGTGTGTGTGAATATGCAGGTGGGGGAGGGGATCTGAGCTGCTGATATTTGATAATCACTGATAATTAAAACAAATGAATTAAGAATTCAGGCTACTAGTTCTTGGTGTCTTTACCTGGATGCTATGGGCGATCTCTTCTCGTCCAGCTAAGATCTGGGACAGAGTCTGTGTCCCTAAGACATTTCTCAGAGTGGTCTGAGCCAGCAGAAATGTGGCTTGGTGGACGTCGTTTACATTAGCCACGGCTGAGACAGCACTGTAGATCCTGTAGTAGACGACTCCATCCACCTGACTCGTCACAGAGTCTCTGGTGAGGATCTGCAGAGCAAGAATAGGGGGAAATCACAGCAACGGATAAAGTGACAGCCGGCCCAAGGGCCCTTGTCCACAGAGTAGAGCATTAATGACAACTCATGCCAGCAGTCACCAAAAAACCTGTCCTTCCTTCTTGATAACAAAATGCCTGCCTGGATGTGGTCTACACCCACCCCTGTAACTTGATCTCAGAGAAGTCTCACATCCTATAGGCAAGCCCTTGATTTGGCATGGTGAGAACATATACTTAGAAACTTCTGGAATTCTACTATCTTCTGTCTTCTATACAAAGGTGGAACACCTGTTTCCCTGATACCAGTAATCTTTTTGAATTTCAGTTTTTATCAGACTTGATGAAGCAGTGCTTCTTAGAAAACATAGATGGCACCAGAGACCGTGTTCTGTCTGCAAGTGAAGCAAGATCGATTTAGGTTAAGGGAGAGGCTTGGTGTCGGTCGTTCTGAATGTGACGAGGTGTTTTGGAGCAAATGACAGATTTCTGGGTGTGCCATGGGAGCAGAACCTAGAACTGTCCATTACAGAGCCAGAAGCCCTCCACTACTGGTCATTGAGCATCCCAAGCTCTCCTGTGACTGGGGCCCAATTCTAAAGTAGGTTTCCTGCAGTTCCTGACAGTGGCATGCAGACATCATTGTTGAGTCTTGATTGAATTTCCTGATCCAGAGAAAATACAATTAACATTTACTCATAAATGCTGATTTTCTGTCTTCTTGTCCCCTTTGCACTCCCACATCCCAGGTCCTACTCATATTTTCTTTCCTCTTTCCAGAGAAAATACAATTAACATTTACTCATAAATGCTGATTTCCTGTCTTCTTGTCCCCTTTGCACTCCCACATCCCAGGTCCTACTCATATTTTCTTTCCTCTTCCTGGATCACTGTGGTTATGAGAGGGTGACATGGTTATTATAACCCTGTTCCTCTTCCCTATTGCTCAGTTACTGTTTTGGGTGATTTATTTATAATGCTTCAAGAACTAAAAGGAATTATTTGAAACCTAAATGCAGGTGGTCCCTGTGCAGCCTCTGCTCTGTTCTCACACCTGTCCCACTCTTTTTTTTAAACACAAAAATAATTTAAAGTCAAAAGCAAAGGTGAGTAATGTAGATATTACTAATAAAATCTGAGAAGGTGATGGAGAGGGTAATATCGTTGCCAACCACTGCCCTCCATCGGCTTTAATCCAGCTCCTCTGTGCTGTGACTTATCTGTCTTTCTACACATCTGTCTGCCGTTCTCCATCCCAGCCTCCCGGTCAGCTGGATCTCTTCTCCCGGGCTTTCTCCCACCGGGTCATTCCAAATCTTCTAGTAATTCAGCCCTTGCCTTGGCTTCCTTCTCATTTGTCAAAACGAAGGCCCAGTAGTTTCACGAGCCACTTTGGGCCAGTTTCTAGGGGGATTCAGTTCATCCTCCCCCTTATAGTTTAAAAATATACTGTAAGGTTTCAGTTGCCCATATGGGAAAGGTACAGGTTTTATTCTTGGTNGGTGTGCCATGGGAGCAGAACCTAGAACTGTCCATTACAGAGCCAGAAGCCCTCCACTACTGGTCATTGAGCATCCCAAGCTCTCCTGTGACTGGGGCCCAATTCTAAAGTAGGTTTCCTGCAGTTCCTGACAGTGGCATGCAGACATCATTGTTGAGTCTTGATTGAATTTCCTGAACCAGAGAAAATACAATTAACATTTACTCATAAATGCTGATTTTCTGTCTTCTTGTCCCCTTTGCACTCCCACATCCCAGGTCCTACTCATATTTTCTTTCCTCTTCCTGGATCACTGTGGTTATGAGAGGGTGACATGGTTATTATAACCCTGTTCCTCTTCCCTATTGCTCAGTTACTGTTTTGGGTGATTTATTTATAATGCTTCAAGAACTAAAAGGAATTATTTGAAACCTAAATGCAGGTGGTCCCTGTGCAGCCTCTGCTCTGTTCTCACACCTGTCCCACTCTTTTTTTTAAACACAAAAATAATTTAAAGTCAAAAGCAAAGGTGAGTAATGTAGATATTACTAATAAAATCTGAGAAGGTGATGGAGAGGGTAATATCGTTGCCAACCACTGCCCTCCATCGGCTTTAATCCAGCTCCTCTGTGCTGTGACTTATCTGTCTTTCTACACATCTGTCTGCCGTTCTCCATCCCAGCCTCCCGGTCAGCTGGATCTCTTCTCCCGGGCTTTCTCCCACCGGGTCATTCCAAATCTTCTAGTAATTCAGCCCTTGCCTTGGCTTCCTTCTCATTTGTCAAAACGAAGGCCCAGTAGTTTCACGAGCCACTTTGGGCCAGTTTCTAGGGGGATTCAGTTCATCCTCCCCCTTATAGTTTAAAAATATACTGTAAGGTTTCAGTTGCCCATATGGGAAAGGTACAGGTTTTATTCTTGGTGACATATCTTTAACCAGCATTACCTCTTGTGGAGGAATGTTACAAGTCACAGTTCGGAGATCAACTTTGACAAACACGTCTATGCAGGGCAGGACCAGAATCAAACCTATGACAAAGAAAAGTGGTTTAATATTTCACCCACTGCAAATAACTACAACAAATAGCCTCCTAGCTACATGGTACGTAATTTTCATGAGCTATATATTTTTCTCAAATGATCTTTAATATGAACACATATAACTTTGGGGGAAATTATTTCTGCCTATCAATCAATGACTACAGAAAAGTGATTGCTTAGGAATTAAAGTCTTTTGTTAAGTAGCTAAAGATCCTTGACATTTAATTTTTATATTTTATCATTTTAAAAATCTACTTCTATCTGAGTGTTTCATTTGGCATTAATTAAAAATCATATTTTGGAAATGGATTTTCTTAGAATAAAGCTACCTACATAAAAAGATTCAAGCAATAGACTTTTGGCTTTGAATAACAATGACGGCCAACATTCTCAGTCACTTTCAACAGTATTGAAGGAATACTGAATTAAAATCTTCCCAGGGTTTCAGATTCCCTGAAACTAGTGTCTCGCAGAACTAACAGTTTCTCCATAGCCGTGTTCTTCTTTAAATACATGGCATTTCCCAATTGCAAACACTTCTACTTCTCTCTGAGTTGTGAGTATCTGGGTTAAGACCAGGTCAGGGAAGGATTAGTATAAAAAGAGCCATTTAATGAGCCCTTAACAGTACCCTGGTGAATGTTCTTTCTTTACGGAAAGAGTTATTAAGATTAGAACCACAGGCGTGTTGGCAAAATGGTGACACTAATCCTTTTCCATTTATTGGGATATTTTTTGTTATTGCTTTTCTTTTCAAGGCAGAAACAGGTTTTTAGGTTGAACATCATATAAAGGGCTGGTAGCATCAGGAGAAAATGCTGCTAAGGTGCTTTCTTTCTTTTGGTCGCTAAACCTGAGACTTGTGGTAAAAATTACTGCTCAGTTACTTTCCTTTTTTGATGCCAGGTCACTGTGACTAAGATCATCGCCCTTAAAATGAGAGAGTTACGTCCCAGCCCTTCCACTTAGTAATCTCGCGGCTGGGGAACATTCACCTGACTTTTCTGAGCTTTGGTTACCCAGCACATATAAAATGATAGTGAAGATTAAGCATGATTCAACATGATGATGAAATAAAGTACTTACCACGGTGCCAGGTATGTATTAAGTGCTCGAGAAGTGGCAGCCCTTATTATTAATGCTTTAATTATTAAAGAATAATTTACAATTTACAAAAGTGTAGAGATTTTCCATTAGCAATTTGGCTTGTTTCCCTCTGGTCCTAATGACATTCTGAGGTAACCCGTTAACCCCAGGGACATGTATGACGAGAGTTGTTATCCTGGGACATGTAGTAGTGAAATCTTCTGGGAAAATCCATTTACAAAAGATACATTTTTCTCTAGAGTCCTCCAAGTTATGGCTATTCTGCCTCTCTCAGATCCACTTTTATTTTAACTTATAACCTTAGCTCTGCCAGTTGGAACATGACTGGGAAGAGGTTAACTTTGTCCTGCTGTACCTCACCTGGATGATTCTAACACTTCTGTTTTGACAGACTCGTAAGAGCATCCATAATAAGTCATTCTTGGCTCTTTTTCTTAGGCCTTTTATGAAATGAAACAAGAAAGATTACAGTGTTTGACATGGCCAAGTCTCTTTCATAAGCTTCTCTTTTGAAGTTCCTCAATTTTTTTATGTAACAGATATTTGAGCATCTACCCAGTTCACGGCCAAGTACAAAGCACACAGAATATCACCATGCATAAGAAAGTTCCTGCCCCCAAAGATCTTACAGTCCAATTGGAGACAGACCAAATTATTCAAATAAACCACAATAAGGGAAGGAAAAAAGGATTATCAGAGACATATAGCCAATAACCTTTGTTTTTCATGTGTCTTCCAAGATGGTGTTTTTGATAGCCCTTCCTTTTGAGAATATTAGAATTAACCATATGAAATTGCCATTTTTGTGAGTCAAAAACAAATGTTAGCAATTTCATATGGTTCAATTAAATATATACTAAGAGGGTTTATGAGTATTAAATCAATATTATATATTTAGGGAGTTTTAGTACTTGACACTACCCCACCCCTGCCAAAAAATAATCCCATCCTTTTGTAACATGACCAATTTGAAACATTTTTTCTTCCAAGGTTGTAGAGAATGGATGGAAATAAACACTACATTAGGTGTTAGAAAGCCTAAAATCTTATCTTTACCTCCAACTACAAGGGAAATCTTAAGTAAATCTGCAAACCTATGCTGGCCTCTGGTTCTCCATTTTCAAAACCAGGGGATTTTACAAAGGAGTTATACAATGGCTTCCAGCTCTATCTTTCTATTAATCTACTTGCCATAAGAGGAAATTACCTTCTGCCTTTCCATGAGCCTTTTTCAAAGAGTGAGAATGAAAAACCAGGTCCTTGGGTACTCTCCCTGTGTAACTTAATGTCTACACCAGCTATTTCCTCCCTCTCCTGGTTCTTCTGACATTCTCTTAATGGCCCCGGTAGTAAATGAGTGACATTCAGCCAACACAACCAGAGCCACTCTTTCTTCATTCATGGTCACTGAAACTCTGAAAGGGAGAGTTAGGAAACAGGTCCACATGTCCAAACTCTCAAACTAGTCGTTCACACTAACTTGCATAACAGGACACCATCCTTCTCTTGCACAGAACGGCAAGGCTTCCAAGTTCCAGTGACTTTTCTTTGACTCTCAGTAGGCACCACCAGGGGAAATGGTGGTGGGAGCAGTACTAATAGGTGCCCATGGTCTGTGTGGCAGCCACAGTGTCATACCTGGCCCTTTGGCTTTGTCAGCTTGGATTCGTCCCAGTCGAAATACAACAGCACGTTCATACTCCTTAATGATCTAAGAGATCAAGGGAGAGCATTTAGTCTTAATGGCTCCTCAGCTCATGTAGACAGCCCCATTTATTTCCCAGGGTATTACCTTCAGGCACATCCATATGGAGATGGGGAAGGTAATGATCACCAACAGGAAAGAAAGGGAAATCAGAATCCAGCCACATACACCAAGCTGTTTATTGCTGACACCTAGGAAATGAGAAGGAAGCAAGCCTGTAATCAACGGGGCTCTTGGAAAAGCCACCCAGCTGCATGGGCAAGGAAATCATTCAAACAGGTAGCTAAGTCTGATGTGACTGAGGAGGAAACCTAAATCCATGCACACCCATGAATGCAGTTAAACACCCACACCCACACACACAAATTTTATTTTTTGTTTTTTTGGGTTTTTTTTGACCAGTAAGGGGATCACGACCCTTGGCACGGTGTGGTCTGCACCGCGCTCAGCCAGTGAGTGCACCGGCCATCCCTATATAGGATCCGAACCCATGGCCTTGGCGCTACCAGCACCACACACTCCCGAGTGAGCCACGGGACCGGCCCGCACACACACAAATGTTTATTCGGGTTTTCAAAAATTAAAATTGACCCATCCCTCCTAAGAAAAATCTCATGGCAATCAACAGCGATAATTGTCATTACATTCATATAGCACTGCCATGGTTTATTATCCTCAAAACACATAAAACACATGGTTTATTATTCCTCAAAATGTGATCCATGGACCATCCACATCAGAATCATCAGATTCCTGGGCCCCGTGAATTCTCCGGGGGAAATTTAAAGCAACCACTAAGGTAGATAGGTACTATTATCCCCAGAGGAAGACAACGTGGCACATGGAAAAACATTCTGAAGAGCCCTTGGGTCTGAATTTCTATGCGAGGTCTCTCACTTACTCTATGGCTTTAGCCACACCACTCGATCTCTCTGGGTCTCCATGTCTTTATCAGTAGGATGGGGACAGAAGTTACCTACCTTGGAGGATTTGATGAGGATTAGATGAGATTACTTGTATATGGTTCCTGGCCCATACGTTAGTAAATATGTGTTACTCTATTATTCCTATTTTACAATGAATAGGTATTCGAGAACTTATTGATATTTGATATTTCTGTGTTTTCATGGAAATTTATTTTGTTATAGTTGGCTCATTACATTAGATGTCTTTTTTACTAATCACACATTATGATGGGGGGACATTCTGGCTTAATAAATATTGCCTTGCGATAAGCACCTAAAACTGTGTAGCTTAATTACATCAGTTGCATAATTTCTCAATTCTCAAGATTCTTGTTTGTAAAACATGCAGCTCTATCTGACCTGTTTATTTCAGAAATCTTTATCTTCACCATCTTACCTCCTTTTTAATCCTGGTTCTTCTTTGTCCCTTCTTGTCCCTTCTCCTTGAAAGCCACCTCCATCCTCAACCCCACATCTCCCCCAGTTGATTCACACAAACACTGGAACTAACTGTATTTACTAGATATTTTCACCCAAGTAATCCCACAATCACCACCGTCTCTGTCTCAGTTAATGCCTTAAGCCTTCCTGCCGACTGCCCAGGTCAGAGGCTCAGGTCATCATTGCCTCTTCCTGAGCTAACCACAGAAATCCCTGAGTGTAAGCGATGTCATCTCAAATCCATCCCCACTTACCCGTTTCACTGCTACTGAGGCATTGGGACCTGCGCCAAATAAATGAATATTTAGGAGGGTTCTAGGTTTTTGTTCTTACAAAACAATGCTATGATGAAATGTGTGCTCTGCGCACTTGTGTAGGATAAATTTCTAAAATGCCCTTCAGAGAGTCTGTACCAACGTGCCCTGTCACCAGCAGTATACGTGTGCTGTTTCCACGTGTCCTGTCCCCATCAGACAATTTCAGTCTTCTGAGTAGTTACAGTCTGGAAAAATACCTCCATCTTAGATACATATTTAGTATTAGAAAAATACCTCCATCTTAGATACATATTTAGTATTAGAAAAATACCTCCATCTTAGATACATATTTAGTATTAGAAAAATACCTCCATCTTAGATACATATTTAGTATTAGAAAAATACCTCCATCTTAGATACATATTTAGTATTAGAAAAATACCTCCATCTTAGATACATATTTAGTATTAGAAACTTTTGAGGACAAATGTCCTTTTACAGGCTCTAAATACACAAAAGTTACATTCTGAACGATAATGGCGTGTCTGCCTACTCCAGAGTTTAAATTCTTAAAATATCACCTTCCAAAGCCTTGGATCCACAGTGAGGTGGCTATCAATGTGTAAGATAAAAAAACACCGTGTGTATTCTCATAGAATCTTTGTTGTATTTTATTAATTTCAAAATATTAATAACACAGTCCATGATTCTCACTGAAAAAAAAATTCAAGTAATAAAACTAAATTTCTCTGACTATCCTCTCCTTGGTCCACTTTCATCTAGAGAAGTTCCAGAGTTATCAGTTGGGTGTTTGCCCTTATAGACCCATGCCTACCTATTTACACACATATATCTAGAGAATACTTGGCTTTACTTTGTAGATTTTATTTTATGATAAGTGGCACCACACTGTACCTAAGTTTCTACTTTTTTTTCTTTTACTTAATATATCTTGGAGATATTTCCTTGTCATGACACAGCCATCTACCTCATTCTTCTTTTTTGCATACTCTTTCATCCTAAACCTGTGTCTCAGTTTACTTAGTCATTCTCCTACTGATCAACGTGGAGCTTACTTACAATTTCACCTTTACAAACAAGGCTGCAATAACTGTGCTGTCCATGAGTCACAGGACCACATGCTCTTTTATTGAATCTAGATAGTACTGTTGAGAAGGCAGCACCGTTCCTGCCACCTTTGGTGGGTTTCCTCCCTGCTGGCACTGCAATATTTGGTATTCAGAAACCTCGAGGTGTTCTAAGGCTGTGGTGTTAGTGCAGCACATGAGCAGCTGGGGCCACACAAAGGATACCAGCTATACTTAATGCCCTGAGACAAGCCCTAAACATTTCCAAAGGAGCCCAGCCTTAACACCAGCTGCATAAGCAAGTGTTAGTCACAGAGAAAATCAGCCCGACCTGCAGGAGCTCCTCCAGAGTCCTAGCAAGCCCTTTCATCTCTGCATGCACGAAGAAACTCAGCTCCCTTAGGTACAAACACGGGAAGAGAGACAAGAGATAAGGTCATGATCGGTCTGCCAAGATTCACTCCTGAGCATTAGAATGTTGCCGCTGGGAGAACTGATGGAACCTTGGGGTGTCATTAGCTGCCAGTTAATGTGGGGTGTCCCTGCAGGCTCCCCAGCTCAGTCTGTGAGCACACACAGCTTGGGGGGGAGGTTGTCACAAAGTGAGTGCTGCTTTTGCAGCTTCCAAGGAAGCAAATCCTTCAGGCAGCCTTTTCCTCTCCCCAGCCTCTCTCATAGTTAAGATGACGATGCTGTGCTGAGAAGTGGATATGAAGATTACAATTCTGCCTGCTGGGATATGCTGAGATTGTATTACAAGGATCTCCAGAAGTCTTCCACACGGCCTTCACTTCAGCCTACAGAAAGGCTCCTGCCAGAGCCCTCCCTTGAGGCTGAGGGGATGATGGAAGGAAAAAGGGTGAACCGCCTCTTTGTTGGCAACAAAGTCCTGACCATGTCTACTTGTCTGTTTTATCCAAATCCATGAATGCATATTTTCTGTGGGCAATTGTCTGTCCCATAACCATAAAGTACCATCATAGGCTTACTTTCTGGAAGAGAAGTAGATTTTACCACCCACGCAAAATTGCCCCTGTTTTCTCACTTGTTCATTTAACAAATATTTTACCAAAATTTATATACCAAGCACTGTGCTAGAGCTGAGGATTCAGAGGTGGATGAGGTGGGAACTTGCCACGCATTGCTGAAATCTAGGAGGGGAAGGAGACAACAGGGACAGGTGGAGTCATATGAGCAGGCTCGGTCCTCGGCTGTGCTTACTTCTAGGAAGCCCGCAGCTGGTGAAATAAGCGGAGTCTCCCTCCTGTAGGTGGCTGTCACAGAGAACAGCAGAATGTTTATTCAATGCCTGCCTTTCCATCCACAGAGGGAAAGGTACAGCAGTAACACTACCAACACTGGGGAGGAGGACTCAGGAACTTCAGCTGGAAGGACTTTGGAGACAACCAAGGCTAATTCTTCATTTTGCAGCCAGAAAACTTCCTGGTTAGTGTCATCATCGTCTTAATATCTCTCTCAGGTAGCACCCACAAGTTCCACAAACTGACAGTAATTCATGTCTACTTTTAGTCACTTAGGCCATGAGGCAAAATCAAGCCTCACTGGTAGAGGCCTGTCCCTGGGGCGTTGTACCCAATATCTCTCTCAGGTAGCACCCACAAGTTCCACAAACTGACAGTAATTCATGTCTACTTTTACTCACTTAGGCCATGAGGCAAAATCAAGCCTCACTGGTAGAGGCCTGTCCCTGGGGCGTTGTACCCAGTGCTTGGATACAGCCCTGCACCAGAGGAGACTTCAAAGCCCTTTAGGAAGAGGGGTAAACACTCAAGGCAAGACTGCTTACTTGAGTGAGGCCAAGAAGTAGGGGAGAAGACTCCAAATCACAAGCCTGCCTTAGATGACATTAGAAGTAAAAATGAAGTACAGTTAATATAACAGACTAGGGGACTTGGTTGCTTATTTCTCAATTTTGGCTTGGTCAACAGTGTTTAAATGTTAGAGTAATACTACATACAACATTTGGCCATAGGTCTGTGTTACCATAAATAGTCATTTCCGTTCTTAGCAGACATAACTGTTTCGGTATTAGGATGTTATTTAAAAATATCAAAATAGAATGATGCACATGACACATCAGGGAAGGGAAAGTTCAAACCACAGTGAAATGCTAATACATAGACAGTTACCAGAATAGCGAACAGTAGAGACTGACAGCACCACGTTTTAGCAAGGTCGTGCAGCAAGGGGAGCTCTCAGATGCACTGTTGGGAGTAAGATTGGTTCGGTCACCTGAACAACTACTTGGAAATATTTATTAAAGCTAAACATACACCTATTTTGTGACTCAGTATTCAACGTCTAAGTAATACCTGAGAGAAGTGAGAGCCGATGACAGCAAAAACCATGTTCAAGAATGTTCATGGAAATTTTATTCATAAAAGCCAAGAAGT